TTTGTAGTGTTTTAGATTTTGTTTTTTTTAATTTTTTTATATATTTTTATTTTTGTATGTTTTTGTGCGGGCCGCCAAGCCCCCTACAGGGGGAGAGTGGCGGGGGGGGGAGTGAGTGAATGAATGAATGCACAACAGAGGGCTAGGCAACATTAAACCCATGGACAGAACAGACTCCCTCTTCAACTCTGGGTTTTTACTTTAAAAAAATAAATGGGAATATGGCATGCCACAAAATAAAGCATTAGTCTGTAGCATCATTTTTATTTCCAAGAATGCTTCTGGATCCTATATAATTGGGGGGGAGCATCCTCACCAGTTTATAGTGTTTTGTGAATGTCTATACCCACCATATATTGAGAGAGCCTGTTTGGTGTAGTTGAGGCATCAGGCTAGAAACCGGGAGACTGTGAGTTCTGGTCCTGCCTTAGGCATGAAGCCATCCGGGTGACCTTGAACCAGTCATTCTCTCAGTCCTAATGAGGAGGCAATGGCAAACCACTTCCAAAAAACCCTGCCAAGAAAACTGCAGGGACATGTCCAGGCAGTCACCCAGAGTCAAAAAGCTGACTCAAAGGCACCAAAACCCCCCAAAACAAAAAAACCACAAGAGCACTTTTGTGAATATGTAAGTCTCCTGCCATTTCAGAAAAGCACATATGACATAGTCTCTAAATTCCAAATGTTCCACAGAATTAAAAGAGCTTTCTCCTATAGTAAGCAAAACAACAACAATCCACAATTATGGTTTAACGTAATGTGTGAACTCAGCCAAGAGTTTGTTTTTATAGTAAGTTTACAGTAAGTCTATCTGTAGTAAGTATAAGAGGGACACTCCACATACACACCCATCTATCCAATTCACTGTAACAGTTACACCCAATGTAATAATTCATGGACGGATATAACATGTAGAAATGCAGCAGAATAGCTTGCTGTTACAGGTTATACTGGAATGATGGAATAATATTCCCAGCACTGGATTATTGGAAGACAAGACAGACTAAGCCTTTATCCATATACAGACATAACCGGGAACCTCTTCCATGGATGAATACTTTTGTAGCCATGGGTGGTTTTAATTACCAAACTAATTTTTTTCCTGACATATGGTGGCAATTCTCTCAAGTGAGTTTAAGTCCTCAAAGAAGCTTTAAATATATTTTAATCTAAGAAAATAACTTATTATTTTAAATTGAGAATTACCATTTTTACACTTACATTAATCACAGTAGATGATCACTTAAGGGTTGTTTGATTACTGAAAATACCTTCCTCTTTCTAAATCTATGTTTACTGCAATTTCTCTGAGCAAACAAGCACACTGGATTTCATACATGCAAGATTGCCCAGATGAAACACAAGAAAGGTGGTTTATGCAAATGAGAAAGTTAAAAGACACACACAAAAAATGGTTTAACATTTCCAGAGTACTCCCACTATGGCCAAATAGAGTGAGATGTTTTGGTTCTGGAGCCTTTGAAATCCACATTTCACAAAATTTTCCTTAGGCAGCAAGTTGCAGAGATAAAAACAATACATCTGATGAAAAATTAAGAAATATCAGTTATTAATATGCCATGACATACATCTTTTAATTTATCTAACTTTATCTAATATATCAAACGAGAGATTATAAGGATATAGACATAAGCCCAAGCATAAGAAAGTTACCACTGGTCTTCTTTCAGTTCTGTGAAAAGTGAGAAAATGGTCCAAGAGATCGTTTTCATCCAATTCATACTGACAGAAAGGACAAGGATATCTGAAAACAACAGACAGACATTATAGAAACCCATTACATTTTCAATGTTAGCTACTAAATACATTCTCCAGTTGATAGCTATTTTGGACAGTGAACCAATCTGCTCCTGAGAAATAAGATTATACATTTGTCTCTCTAAAGCAAATTTTGGTATACATGCCCAAGCCACTGGGATATGAAAAGCTAATATAGCTGATGAATCTATAGGTTTCTCTATCCTTAATTTCACTAAGATGTACCTTACCTTTTTTCAGGATATGCAACTTCTTGTAGAGGCCCATATTTTTCTATGTATTGGTCACAAGTCCTCAAATGAGCTCTCATTTCACTAAGGCATACCTGGATCATGCAAAAAAAAAATATATATATACATTATTAGTTAAAATTCTACACTTACGGGTTAACATTTAAAAAATAAGAATTTTCATAAAGGTGAGGATATAAAGCAAGGTAGGCTCAAATTTCTTTAAGTTGGGTATAACACATTACTTAGCATTCAATACAAATTATGTTGAAGTGTGTATAGGATTACTGTTTAGAAAGCTGTTAATAGGAGATAGTAAATTATGTAGTATCAATAGTTATTTACCTGTGTTTTACATTCTGTACAGTTTTGGTGTGTATTTTTCATCATTTTGATAATATCAGTTGCTGGAATCCCTTCAGAAGGAAGATATGCTCGGCAATATGGGCACGTCCATGTATTATTTCTTAAACATGTTGCAATACAAGACTGACAAAATCTGACAGAGATAAAAATAAAATCATGTTTCTCCACAAAACCCTATTTTAAGGAAAGGAATCTAAAATGTGGACACGACCTAAGAAGACTGATTCCTGTCTGTTAATAATTTTGTTTATTTGAGCATCCCAACTACTGATAAAGAGTAGTTACAGACGATAGTATGTTCTGTTATGAAGCTATCTCTGCATTATCTAAAGTTACTCATTAGCATCAAAGTACCTGCCTACAAGTGACTGAAAATAACTGAAGTAGTAGTAACACTTTATAGGACAAGTCAGTGCTACAAAAAGAACGTAAGGCAAGATTTAGCTAAAAATTAACCACATGTGGAGAGCCAGTTTGGTCTAGTGGTTAAGACACCAGCAGGAGACTGTGAGTTCTAGTCCCACCTTAAACATGAAAACTGGCTGGGTGACCTTGGGCCAGTCACTCGCTCTCAGCCCAACTCACCTCACAGGGTGGTGGTTGTGGGGAAAATAGGAGGAGGAAGGAGTATTAGGTATGTTCACTGCCTTGAGTTATTTATAAAAAAAAATAATAAAGGTGGGATAAAAAAAAAGTACTACATCTATACCCACTGAAAAAGTCATTTTTCCTTTTGCTGAAATGAAACTTAGAAGGGCTTCAGTTTTAATTTAGCTTCCATTTATAAACATAATTTGCAATAATAAATGGCATGTAATCCTTCACTTTGTACTATTACATGTAATCCTTCACACTATTCTGAATGAAAATGTAATATATTTATACTTTCTTCACAATACACTTCCTCTGAGTTTTCTCAAATTGAATCAGACAACAGAGTACTGTATATGTAAATGAAATCCTGGAGCACACAGTGGGGAAGGAAGACCATTGTATTTCTGAAATGATTATCTGTGGCAGAATGAAATCAACTTGCATTGTGATGAATTGTGGAGCTGATATGCTATATATGTATATGGAATTCCTGCCAAATGGCTCTGTAGATAATGCTGAGGGAATGATGAAATATTTCACTGATGTGTCTAAGCTTACTGTAACAAAAGCTAAAGTAGCACATCTTTTCAATCCTCCAATCTTTTTCCTGGAATTCCTGCCAAATGGCTCTGTAGATAATGCTGAGGGAATGATGAAATATTTCACTGATGTGTCTAAGCTTACTGTAACAAAAGCTAAAGTAGCACATCTTTTCAATCCTCCAATCTTTTTCCAAGCTCTCTCAGCTTAAAATGCAGCAGAATTGCATCACTATTAATTATACAGTGTGTGTGGGAAGTCTGGTTCCTGAAATCTGGGAAGTATTATTAAAGGGAATCTTAGTAGTGTGGAACCTAGACCTGGATTAATGTCCTGTATAGTAAACTGAATGCACATAATATTGATGTATAGGAATAGTGCATAAAAACTAGAAGGGAAAAATATACATTCTAAATGTAAATAAACATTTAGGTCATATTTTAAAGTTAATGGTTACCCCCCAAGCTGAGTACTCATACTTCTCTATGAATTTTAAATATATATATATGTAATAGAAGGGTCAGGTAAATCAAATCAAATCTTTATTACGGTCATAGGGAGGGTTGGGGTACAGTCAATTAAAAAGCATAGAAGATACGTCAGAGCCTAAAAAGTAATATGGAAAGCTAAAAGATATAAAATATATTAAAACAGAAAGTATATATAAAAACGAGAGTTTAAAAGGAAGGGTAGGAGCATTAGATGGGCGTAGGGGAGCATAAAGGTTATTATGTGGAAGACTGTATCTATCAAATTACAGAACACTCTAGTATGATGAACTAGATGCTCATTAAGTCTAGCTCATGGCACAGGTCATCATCCGGTAAATTTTAAGTGCTGCTGCACAGAACCTGCAACATTGTGTGTTGTAGCAGGGTTGGAATCTGAAAGCAGGAGGGAGGTACAGAATTGTCCTGTGTACCCAGGGTATTATGCAGTAATGGTCAGATGAGACTAGTACGAATGTCTCTGTAACACAAGCACTGGAGAAGCAAATGTTCTGTGTGTCCAGAGTCACAGTGGCATTGTCTCTCTGGCCTTCAAGGAAAGCTGAGGGAAGGGCATGGCATCATGCCAGAGTAAAGGCCTTCTGATGTTTAGGTACTGAGTTTAGTGAAGTATGCCATAGGGGAGGCAGAGTACTTGATGGATTCACCGACAATAAAGGTTGGGGACCTGGCTAGATCCAATTTGCTGCTCTGTGTCTGCTACACACTGTTTAATGAGTGCTTTAGCCTGATCATATCCCATGCTGAGTAGAAGATCTGGAGACAAGCCCAAGGATGAGATTTAGCTGCCACTGCCTGTTTCCATGTGGATTGAAAATCATCCCTCATAGTTAATGGGGCAAGGCCAAGGGTCAGATGAATCAGATTGAAATTGTATTTATCTACAGGAAACATATGCTATAGTTGTAGTTTAATTGTCTTCTTCCACAACAATAATTTTATTTTAAATATGATTTTTCAAAAAGAGAGTCTTCATTCAAATGTCATAAGGTAAAGCAAAAGATTGCTTCTTGCCTATAGAAATATCAACATGGAAAATGTATATGTACTGTAAAGGAGGAATTGATATAATCGGAAGCCATATCTTATAAATAAATCTAGAGAAATTTAAGCATACATAACTCAAAAGAAATACCTTTAAATTTCTTTATGTATATAAACTCTAAGACCAGTTGTCTAAAGTTATCAAACATTGCATGTAAATATGTTGGTACCAAACAGTGACCTATTCAACTGATTTGGATGCATTTTAAAATGTGTAACTGAAGTTGGCTTAAATTTTAACACCTGCCTTTAAATAGATTTCTCCATGTTTAGTTAACAGACAAAAATTAACCAAATTAACCAGTGGTAAACAGATGTTATTTGATGTCAGCCCCACTAGGTAGACCAGACCAGGAAATTAACTCCACAGGAAGGCTAAAGCTACTTTTATTGAGATTGGCTACAGTAACAGAATCTTGCACCTCCTCCTCTTCCATATTAGGGAGGTGTTTGCCTCAGTTGCTTCCAAATGTTATCTTGTAGTTCTGGACTTAAAAAATACTTTAACTTCCTTTGCTTAGCTAACAGTTCCTACATATTTCCATCAAGGTAATTTCCCTTACTCTCTACATTTGGGGTGTTCAGAATATAAATTAAGTTGGCAATGACTTTGGTTATGGAAAGTTATCCTGTACTGCTGAAAATGACAAAATGTCAAAGCTGACAATTGTCAGGCCTGGGTTGACGCATCACAATAAACAATCAACCATGGTTCACCCACCACTATTTTCACATTTTTGCACTATTTTCCATTTCATGCTAAGCCATAGTGTTGATTATCTGGCTCAATTTAGTGTTGTGTGTGCCCAGATGCTAGTTTGTAAACCATAATTTATGACTCTGCAAGTATATATTATTCAACAACCTATGGGAAAGCAAATACTGGTATGGCATGATTTGTGAATCAATGATGCACTAAGCATTACTGTCTGGGTTTGTTTACTATGTCATCTGGACCTGAAAACCAGCTTAGTTTTTGATTAGATGAGATGCTATCAGCCACAATTATTAACTATAGTTCTTTATTGGCAGCAAAGCCAGCTTTAATTTAATGTGATGCCTGAACGTGGTCTTCAGGAAAACAGTGCAGGATCTTTTACAAAATAGAGTTGCCCTAATTTCTGCTTCTCCATTTTCTTTTTCTCTACCAGGGAACATGTGAAATCTCTTTCTTGAAAACAAAGTGGCTGGGAGGAGGGGAAAAAACTAACGCCAGCTGGCTAACCAATGCAAGTGTTGTTGGAATATTAACCAAACAAGAAATGGACTGGTAAAACAGCTGACTACAGTTTGCAGTGTTCTTGGGTCATATTCATTAGGTGAGTGCCTTAACTGTTGCTAACACAAAGCATGGTAAATCTGTCATGCAAGTATGTAGGCCAAATTCAGCTACACTAATCACATAATTCCTAAGTGTATCAGTCTACAATAAAATCCTTTTTGCAGAAATAATATGGATTTAAAATCTAATATGTCTCCTAAATATTAGAAATGTATTTATATATGCATCCCAATAATGTGTTGTTTGTATTTATTTATTAAATTTGTATGTCACCCATCTCCCGCAATGGGTGACTCTTTTTGCTCTTGCCTGGTTATTTTTTCCTGTATTTGTTTCTTATGCTGTTTCCTTTTTAATTTCCAATATATAGAATGAGAAAAGACCAAAAAAAAAATTAGTTAGGAGGATGCATGACTATAACTAGTAACTCTGGGGCTATACTCAGGTTGGAATAGGACAAAGGTGTTAGTATGTTCATTCAAGCCTCACTGCCACATCCTGCTTGCTCTGGCACAAAGACACCCCACCCACCATGAATGCAGAACATTATCCTCAAGCAGCTTCCAGACTATTGAGAGAGCAGCCTCTGCTCTTTATGGCTCCTTTGGTGCCAGTCCTCTGATTCTACAGTGATTGCTCCATGGGATCGACAACTGAGGGTTTTGGCTGCCTGATATTGGCACCAAAGGTGTTCTCCCCACCTATCTCCCCCTTTCCCCCAGGAGGGAGTGCCTGGACAGAAGCACTTTAAGGAGCTTTCAAAGGAATGAAAAGAAACCTCAAGAAAGCTTTTTGGCCCCTGATTGGATTAAATTAGTCTGATCAAATTTACCCTAGAAAGCCTCAGAAATTAGATACTGATATATAAAACAAAAGGTACCATCAGGATGACCTCTAAGTAGCTGTCTGTCTTGGAGATGACACCAAGTTGAGGAAATGTGATTTACATTACAGTACTGTAACGATGTTAAGAAATATTGTCACCTTTCTTTGGATAGGTTTTTGACTGAGACCTGACCCCTATCAGCTCTCTTCTTAAAAATAAGTTTTGAAAATTAGCACCCCCCCCCCACAAAAAAGAACTTGTCTGAAAGACTTGTATTAAAGGATCCTAGTGTGATAGTTAGAGCAGAAGAAAATGTCAAATCCCTAATAAAGTTAGTTTATAAGGACAGTTTTACAGATCCTTATATTCATTCAATTTATATCTTGTCTTTTTTCCAGAAGCAAAAGACGGTTTACATTTTAGCATTATAGCAACTAAGATATAGGCTAGGCTGAGTGTGTGTGGCTGGCCCAAAATTATTCAGTAAGTTTCCATGGCTAAGGGTAGTCCCTGTAGTTTTCTTGGCAAGGTTTTTTGGAAGTGGTTTGCCATTGCTCCTTCTAGGGCTGAGGCAGAGTCACTGGCCCAAGGCATCCAGCTGGCTTCAGGCCTAAGGCAAGACTAGAACTCATAGTCGTCCTGTTTCTAGCCTGATGCCTTAACTACTACATCAAACTGGCTCTCACTAAGGGTAGACCTGAACCTATATTTGAACCTAGACATAAATCTCTTTGTCTATTACCTGAACATAAAACTTAACATAGACAAAATTATATTGTGCATTTCAGAACCGTTCTATCCATTCTATCTCACTTTCTACCCCATTTTAACACTGTTAACTTCCAGACTGAAATGCACCATATGCGATGTGTGTATGATTTGGACTGTGTATGGAAAAAAACTCTGACCCCTTTTAGAAGTCACACTGAGCTCCATGGATCCAACTCTTTAACTACCAGTCATAATACTGGACCTCAGTATTCTTTCAATCACTTTTAACTAATAGAAATGTCTTCCATTTCTACTAAAACTAGGCTTCCACTACTTACATCCAGTTTTAAATTGATTGGCCAAATAACGTTTTGACTGCCATGCCCCTTTCAGCCTGGATATGTTTTCTCTGCCACAGCTTTCTATCAGTGCACACCATAATTTATTATGACATCTTAATAAGGTAACCCATGAAATCCATTCGACTGAGTCAGAACGTCAGACAAAATTGGGGGCTTGTCATCATGAAATCCATTCAGGTCAGTCAACCCGCAGATTCACTCTTCTGTCTAAATGAGGCTGCTGGGGGTAATGCAAATTTCACACTAGTCAATGTTATGTTTTGTCCACAATGTGAATCACCTGGATTTCACCTGAAAAGAGGCAACAGTTGTTATAATATGAGGAATGATTCCACAGATTTTTATTCACAGATATTTAAAGGTCTGACTCTTGCTCCAAGTATCTTGGAGAGAAAGCGGTAGAGTTAAGTTGAAAGCAATGTATATGAGATTGGTAATCATTCAACATTTAATTACTTTATTTATCTGAAAGGAAAATGAGACTGTTCATCAAGAAATTAATTTGTAAAACGGGGAGGGATCATTATAGATTTGCTGAGACTAAGCAATAGAGACAGATAAGGTTTTTTGTCTAACTCTCCTTTGGGAAGGCATCTGAAATTCAGGACTGTCTTCTTATAATACAGTATTATTATTTATTTTATATTATTTGTATACTGCCTGGGTCAGGTGACTGAAACGTCAAAATTATTTCCTTTTCAAAATATAAGCACTTTTTTTTAATCAAGATTGCTACTATACAAAATATATTACTTCTCTGTCAGAACATTTTGTTTAGCTTGTTACCAAAATATTAAAAAAGAATCAAAGAAATGAATCAACCTGCTACAGAAACATTCGGTTGTACGATTCAAATTTAATAAGTTCCTTCTTTCTTTTTCGACATAACTTTTTTGTTTTCGAATACCATCCTCGACATAAATTATCTTCCTTAAAAACCAACACCACAGACGGAGCTTATCTGGACCAAAACTGGGGCTAAATGCAGCCCCACCGCATATAAGAAACGGATGAACATTTTTTCGTCTTCTGGTTTTATGAAAAATCTTTATATATTCATACTGAATTTAGCTGCACAGTAACACGTGAGACTTACTTCCAATAAGTTTGCATTGCAGAGCACCGCAGACGTAAATAGAAACAAACATTTAAATGTGAACGGGAGAGGAGGACAATCTGTACTTCCTCCAACTCAAAGCAGGACCAACGTACAATTCAGCTCCCACCTCCCAACCTGACCTAACTTGGAGAAGTTGCACTTACATGTGGCCACATCTGGTCCTCACGGGCTGGTCGAGCACCTCCAAGCAGATAGCGCAGTCAAAAGAAGGAAGTTGCTGCTCTTCCACGTCTCCTGCTCGATCTGACGGTTGTGGGAACTGGATACTGCCTTGGAGGCCGCCAGCACCCGGCGTCCTCGCCGTCTCCCGTCCGTCGCCGCTTAACACCGATCCCATCGCCTAAACGAGCTCACGCTTTGGGGCTGGTGTTTGCAGCGGGCGCGCTGCTCAAATGCTTTACAGCCAGAATTGTGGCAGTTTTGCAGGAATTCGCCTTGAAGCAAAACAAAAGCGGCTGCTCGCCCACTTGGACCTCCTCCTTGTTTTGGGACGAAATCCCGGAGACGTTCTGCCGCGGCTGCAGAGTCGAAAGCCTGCGGAAGCTTTATTGGCGGTGGCAGGGCCAGTCGAAGTCAGTGCGGTGAAACCTGACACCTTCGGCTCTACAAATTAGGGATCGGAGGAAGTCCTGGCTTCGTTTATTGGCTGGCGCAATATTTTGTGTTTTTTTCCCTTAGAGCCTGATGATCTGCGAATGGCCTCTGCATGGCTGGCCAGACATGATTCCCACTGGGTCGAAGGGAATTTGTTACCCGGAGCGTTTAGGATTGAATTATAAAATACTCTTTGCTACATGCACGTGTCACCCATCATTGTGGTAAGGAAACAAGCCAGCTATTTCATGGCCGAGCTCAATTTTCGTGTTTTTGTTAAACGCTTTCTCCTAGCTGAATGTAAGAAAAAGACTAAAGCTAGAAAAGGATGAAATCTACAAGGGAAAACACTAAGCAACTGTCCCCTGCTAAAACTAAACGCTTCTATGTTCACATGTTGCCTTAAGACAATGGTTTTAGCTAGCATAATCTGTAAATCTTGGATTCACTCACCATACTAACCCAAATATTTGCTTATTCATGGTTTACTGGATAAAAATAAATTTGCAAAAATATCAAAGAATCAGGGATTATAAGCAATGACTGGGTCCCCAGAACACAGCAAACCACAATGTTTTAGCTTAACACTGTGTGAACTGAAATCATAGTTTGGTTTAGTGCTTTGTGTCTTAAAAATAGTTTAAAAACTGACTTAGGCCACATGCAAATGAGACCATTATTATATTGGATGCTTCTCTTTAGAAATTAGATCTAATCATTGTGATTTAGGTGCTAGTCTACAAATGAAGTTAAAATGTTGCAGTGCTCCCATTCAGAATCCAAAGGACAACTATCTATATCAGTGATGACAAACCAGTGTGAAAAAAATTCGGAAAATGCCTAACTTGACTCTGCTGGCGTGTCACCCCCTCCCCCCCCAGTCCGATCATGTGTGATGCTTGGTATTATATAAAGAACCAAATAATTACAAAAACGAAATACAAGTGAAACAAACTCAGTTTCTTTGGTAACTCAAACAGGGAGAATAGTTGTCAGGTGTTGGTGAACACTGGTGTGTCACCAAAATGTGGTGTGTCACCTATGACACGCATGTCATAGGTTCACCATCACTGATCTATATACTACTAAAACTCTCATGTCTGTAACCTTCAACTGGGTGAAATGGTGCATCATAGGGCAAGAATTTTTGAACAATGTTGACGGGTGAGCCCCCTTCCTCGAGGGAGCAGGGCCCTTGGGGACACACCAGAATGGGGAGTGGGGGTGCAGTTTTCCTCATGGTCTATGGCTCCCCTTGTTTCACCTCTCCCCAGCAAAGTGGCAGGCAGTTCTGTGGATCAGCCGAGGAGGAGGAAGCTTCACTGGGGCTCTCTTGAGGGTCAGGAGGGGAGGGCAAACAGTGCACGCCTATATTATATGTGGAAATGGAAGGAGGGAAGGAAGGAAGGAAGATTTCTGAAGCTCCCTGCCAGCTTCCCACAAGCAAAGTCAATGGGGAAGCCAGCAGCAAGTCGTAAGTCGCTCACACGATATAAATCCAATAAATACATAAATACATTTTGAACTGTAGGAACATGTTTGAAAAACAGTGTTTTATATGCATTTGTATCCCAATTTTAAATAATGTAATAACCATGATGGAAAGTAAGTTACAATTGCATTTCTGTCTTTTTGTATTTTCATGTCTCCATAAACTGATGAATTATATTCAAAGTGCACACTCTCATATCATCTTTTATTTTTTTCCTCTTTGGACAGGACACAATTTGATCCCCCCTCCATTTTCTTCACCTCTTTTCCATGCCTGTTGTTCATTGTTCATTTTGCCCAAGATGAGAGACTGGAATAGCTGGCCTTTCAGATTCCTGAATTATGGGAATCAGCCATTGTTTCTGTGAGAAGGCAGGGAGAAGTGAGGGCCTCAAATGAACCATGTTTGCTAGGGGAGAGCGCTGGGCCCCAGGGGGCGGCCTTGGGGGGGGACGGCAGGAGGGAGGAAATACTGTAGGCAGGAGGCACGTT